CCTGTGAATATTGAAGTCGTGACTCGTCATCTGACTGCTCACATTCCTGTCCCGCCGGAAGCGGTTGTACACTCCCTGAATGATGGACAGATGATGGTCAATCTTTCTTGCACTGAAGGTGAAACAAATACAAACGGCAATTTAATACAAAACAGGATTTTTGTAAAAGTAGGTCTACAAAATACCAAAGTAGTATATATCCAGTATTAAAAAACCAACACAGTATAAAATAAGACTTAAATAAATGTTAGCATAAAACTATCACAGCATAAAATTACTTATAAAAACCACCAAAGCATAAAATCGGATGCCAAAAAAAAAAAAAAATTCCATAATATGAAATCTTATTTTAAAAACCCATAAAAGCAAATAATTAGGTACTTAAAATCCACCAAAGGATAAAATTAAGTATAAACACCATTAAAGCACAAAAAAAGATTTTAAAATATCATCGTATAAAATGAGATTAAAAAAAAAAACACACCTCCATAGTATAAAATTTGGCTATCCTCCAACTAACGGTCGGCAAAGATGGCGGCCGCAAAATATCCAGCCGAGCCGCAGTCACTTGTCAATTGCGCGCTTCCGGCTACTTAATTTGCGGTCTTCCGGCGGTTGTCCGCCAACTACCACTATCGCCACGTGGCCCCCACGCGGCGTGTATTGGGGCTAAACAAGATGGCTAGGACACACGAGCAGCAGCTTCCGCATCTCCTCCAGCCTTGCGGTAGCCATAGTCGCCGGAAAAGCGCACATTAAGTAGCTGGAAGCGCGCAATCCACACGTGACTGTGGCTGGCTGGATATTTTTCAGCCGCCATCTTTGCCGACCGTTAGTCGGAGGATAGCCTAAAATTTTGTATAGAAACCATCAAAGTATAAACTCAGATATAAAAGCATCATAACTGGTATTACAGTAATAATAATTGAAAAAACTGAAAAATTAAGAGTTTGTGTTAAAGAAATATGTGATAACCGGGGACCAACAGAGATATCCCGTGTGGGTTCTGAGCTCCTAATGTGGTAAAAGCAAGAACAGACCAACTGCCTCCCCAAAAAAGCATGTTTTAGGAGTCGACTCAGTGTAAGTGGAGACATGCTTCGAAGTCAATGTGTTTCTGCCTGAGAGGCAAGGAACCAATAGTCTGCTTACAAATAAGCCAGATCTGTAAAACAGATGTGCATGCAACACTCAGATTCTGAACGAGACTAAAGTTGGAGGTGGAAGAAGAACCAGAACTTTACGCCAGTGTACAGCCAATGAAAGTAAAGAAGAAGAAATTATATAATGAATAATACATCCTCAGTGAGTTAGTTTTAACAAGATTTTACTGTACATGTATGAGAGGAGATTAGCATATTCAAGCATGTATAGGCCACAGTATTTCAAACGAAAATCACTGATGAAAAATAGGGTGCGTCTTATATTCAGAATATTAGGCCCACACGTCACTAGTAAAAATGTTTTTATAAACAATACCTATTTTCATACGTACCTTATGAAAACAATACCAGTCACTGATGCCACTGCTGTCCACCTCCGAGTCATGAGGTCATTTCGTGCCATGAAGTGCCTTGCACAGCCATAACTGGCTTAAATTCACTCTGAGGAATTCCGATGATGTCTGATAACTGATGTGCTTCACACTGTAACATTTTTACGGACACAGAAAACTTATCTGCCCAAATTTTCTTGAAATATTCAAGCAGACTGGTTTCTTATTCTGGATATTTCACCTTTTGCCATAAAAAGATTGTTGTCTTTGTAATGTTTTCTTTAACAGCATCTTTTATCCCAATCTATCTTCCTAATTTTTTCACATCCACCGAACTTGATCTCAGCTGTTTGTTTTTCATATTTTTTGCCCTTAATGCACTACTTGCAACTTTAGATTTACAATTACAATTTGCTCTTACACTGCCCGTCTTTAACTGTTTACATGTACTACTGTTTGGGTTTTGGTCTCTAGACAAAATTCTAAAAAAAAATTATATTGCATAAAATTATTATCTAAGAAACTGGGTGTGGTGGCTGTATACACCTGCAGCCTATACATGCACAAAATATGGCATTATAACTCAGATAAGAAATCTACAGACAAAACATACCACTTTTCTTGTGAACATGTTGCAGAGACTCTGGTGGCATAATCCTTCATCTGTTCCAGTTTCTTGACTAGCTGTTCCTGGTATGTCTCAAAGTTGACCAAGTGCTTACTTACCTGTGAATCAAACAGAAGCAACAGCAGTTTTTAAATCATCTTCATTATGTGCTATGCCAGTAAGTGCTAATGGTCTTGGTTTATTCTTATGTAATCACCAGTCTTTACTCTCGTCTTCACAACTAAGTGACAATATCGGATATGAAAAAAAAACACATCTACAGTATACTATATAAGAACAGCAGGCTACAAAGGCAAGAGGCTGACCAAGAAAGAGATGGGTTGATGGAGTAAAAGAGACACTGCAACCATGCAGTATTACATTAACCCACGTTACTCAACTAGCAAAACACATGGAAGAGCACTAAGTCTATGAGCTCTACAGCATAAGCAGTAGAACAAAAAATGGACAAAACATGGGCACATGCAGACTGACCTCAGTGTGGGTCTGTCTGATGACAGGATTCAGTAGTTTATTCAAAGCTGCAGCAGCATGGCTGCCTGGTCTCTTGCAAGAAACTATGTCACGTAAAACGGCAACCATGTCATACATTGTATCAATATGGTTCTTACACTCCACCAACAGATGTTTCACATAGTCATGGCTGACCTTTGCAGCTTGTAGTCGGCTTTCAACGTACATTCTGGAAATAAAATTACAGATATGATTGTTTTCACTGAACATATCTGTCTACTTTCAACATACCTTCTGGAAAACAAATCACAGAAATGATTGTCATCTCTAAACATATCTACCACGTTTTATGGTGGTGCAGGACAGAGAAGTGTTTAGCCTGAAGATTTAGGACCACCTGATTCATGCAGTTGCCACTGCAGATCCCTTAAAAGTAGATAATCACCGCACTATTGTAGATCCTTTAAAGTACAGAACCACCGCACTATAGTGGATCCCATTAAAGTAGAGAACCACTCCACCATTGCTGACCCTCCCCCTCTTAAAGTACAGAACCACTGCATTATTGTAGACCTTTCCGCTTAAAGTAGAGAACCACTGCACTATTGTGGATTCCCCACCGCCACCCCTAAAGCAAAGAACTACTGCACTATTGTAGATCCCTTAAAATAGAGAACCACTGCACTAAAGTAGATCCCTTAAAGTAGAGAACCACTGCACTATTGTAGATCCCTTAAAGTAGAGAACCACTGCACTAAAGTAGATCCCTTAAAGTAGAGAACCACTGCACTAAAGTAGATCCCTTAAAGTAGAGAACCACTGCACTATTGTGGACTCCCCACCGCCACCCCTAAAGCAAAGAACTACTGCACTATTGTAGATCCCTTAAAGTAGAGAACCACAGCACTAAAGTAGATCCCTTATAGTAGAGAACTACTGCACTGTTGTAGATCCTGTAAAGTAGAGAACCACTGCACTAAAGTAGATCCCTTAAAGTAGAGAACCACTGCACTACTGTAGATCCCTCAAAGTAGAGAACTACTGCACTATTGTAGATCCCTCAAAGTAGAGAACCACTGCACTAAAGTAGATCCCTTAAAAACAGTCGGACTGTGCAGGCTAGGAGTTAAATGTCGTCCCCAACAGAAAAAATCCTTAACCTTACAGAGTATTAGAACCTGGGTCTGCCATACGACAGCCAAGTGTTCTTAATTCAGGATTTAATAGAGTCAATATATATACTGGAATAGGGCATCCAGATACATAACAGTTAATACATTCTATACTATGAACCATTTATGTAAGTGCCAATATACTTTCTGTTAAATAAACGTGATATATATATATTTAAATTCTGGAAAATGAACTAGATATAACAGTGTCAATATATATTTTGGATATATTCTGGAAAACTGTTGAAATAAATAACAGTGTCAATATGCATTCTGTAAAATAAATATGACATCTTTCTTTTTCCTTTTGTCATCTAACTGTTACCAGCTTGCAGCCCAGTGTCACGGTTTTCTGTATTTATTTGTCTTGTGCTTCTCGTGTGGCTTGGGTGATGCATTTTTCCTATGTTTGCAGGTTTCAGCTACATCATTTATCCATCTCTTTTGGTTTTCCCCTCGCCTTCCTCCCAGGTGTTCTCCTGTAAAAAGTCTCATACACTCATAAGCAATTTGTATGGCTACATTCTTACTAGATGGTCGAATCATTTAATTCCTTGTCTGTCAATACAATTCAGACATGGTCTTATTCCATTCTCTCTAATGATGGTATTTGTAACCCTGTCCCTTCTTATGGAGACAGCACATCTCACAGGTAGTTATTTTCTGTTCTAGAGCTCTATTCATTGTCCATAGTTGGCATATTTGTAATAAGGTAGCGATGCATTCACAGTACTGCTGGAATGGAAACATATTATAACAGTGTCAATATACATTCTAGGAAAAACCCAGATAACAAAAAATAAAAAACGCACACCAGACACATCAGAGGACTTGTTAATCAAGATAGAACTGGTACTATTAGCCACCGGACGCTGAAGTTCATACTGAGGGAAGAATTTGAGCACCTAGGGACATGTCCATAGTGCAATGATGATGACCCAACTAACTAACTATACTCTAAGACATAAGTCTTAGTGATATCTGACCATTTCCAAATTTGAAAATGAACTGATCTGAGTCCCCAGAAGACATTATGAGGTATCTGATGGCAAAACTTAACAAAGGTACCAAAGAAGCCATCCTGAAATACTCTAAAAAATAGTGGGACCACACGAAGAAGTGTGTGCAGTGTGAAAGAAACTGCTTTAAAGGCCATAAGGGCTACAGACCTTCAGGTGTCTATGTGTATCTTTCCTGGCTACCGGCTACAGATTTGATACTTATTCAACAGACCTTGCAGGTATGAATGCACTCACCTGAAATACAAGATCCCACTAACTAACTTCTCCTGCTGCTGACTGCAGCTCTGCTGGTTCCTCTTCACTAACTCCCCCCAGGAAGAGCAACTATGTGCAAGTCTGGCATCTGTCTCCATGTCAAGCAGCATGATGTCTGGTTTAGGCGCTAAGAGGAGACAAGAAACAATGGTCAGTGCCACAATGACAAGTCTATATCCTATTGGATGGAACAGGTCACAGAAGATATATATTCTCCTGGAATTATCACTCTTGTCTCATAAAACTACATATTTAAAACTACACATTTTCTCTTGCAAAACAAAATGACACATTTCAGGCTACCTCATAGAATGACACACTTTTGTTTGCAAAACAAAGACATATTTTCTCCTGCCTCACAAAAGCATACATTTTCTCTTGCAAACAAAATGATATATTTTTTACTGCCTCACCAAATAACATTTATTTTGCTGCCTCACAAACTGAAACATTTTCTACTGCCTCAGAGAATGATATATTTTTCTCCTGCCTCACAGAATGACACAATTTTCTCTTGCAAAACAAAAAAACACATTCTGTGTCTCCTTACAAAATCACACGTTCCTCTTGCCTCACAGAATGTCACACACTCCAACTGTCTTACAAGATATCATATTGTATGCTGCCCTAACCAACTGAAACATTTCTCCTGCCTTATGAAATGACACATTTCACCTGCCTCACAAAATAACAGATTTTTCCTGCCTCACTAAACTACACAGTTTCTCCTGCCTTTTAAACTTAACACTCCTCCTGCCACATGCAATGGCAAAGTTCTCCTGTCTCATGAAAAGACACATTTCTCATGTCTCACAAAATGACATATGTCTCCTACCTCATGACATGACACATTTCTCCTGCCCCACAAAAATGCACATTTTCTCCTGCCTGTATAAAATGACACATTTCTCCATCCTCACGAAATGACACATTTCTCCTTTCTCATGAAATGACACATTTCTCCTTTCTCATGAAATGACATTTCTCCTGCCCCATAAAATGAAAAATTTCTCCAGCCAAAACATTTTACACTAAGCATCATATACTCATACCCCTCAGCATGAAAAGGGACCCATTTAATTTACCTCACCTATTGCACCATTTGACATAACAGATCATTTCTGTACTTGCACAATTATTTCTACACTGAAGCCATGGTTTTACACACAAACTTACGAATGTACGGTTGTGTCAACTTGTGATCTTCAGTGATCTGCCTGTGAAACAAATAAATGGCGTTGTTCCGCAGGTGAGAGGGATAAGTTTGCAATGGGTTCATGGAGTCAACCACATCCTCTAGGGTCTGGCCACCAACTATGAGGATCTGGTCAGAGGCTGTTAGGTCTGTCTGGGAAGCTATCAGATCCTGGAGACCTGAGAGGCTGCAATAGAAAACCGTTTTTGTACGTTAAGTTACAAATTTTGAGTACCAAGGGATTATTTCCTGAGCAAGCGAATATTTCCAAAGATAGCAATTGATGCTGCAAGCAACCCCCATTGCAGAGACGGCACTTTGAAAAACCTACAGAATACTGAGGCTGGTTTTTAAAATTACTGGGGTTCCCAAGTTGACCCAACCTAAGAATGGGTTATAGGAGGTCACAGCTTTTTATTATCGATGTGGGTTCTGGGGCCCCACCATGGGGATAGAGAGAAAAAAAAAGAGCAGGCCTTAGCAATAAACATGTTGTAAGAATCGACACATTTAGGGGTTTCCTTCAAAGTCAGAGTGCAACCACCTGAGAAGCAAGGAACAGTTTGCATACTAATAAACCAGATCTGTAAAATAAATGTGCATGAAAAACTCAAATGCTGAATCAAGGCTAAAATCCAGAAATGCATGAACAACCAGAGTTTTCTGAGTTTACAGCTGTCGAATGCTAAAGCACGGAGGATCATCTGTGTCAAGAGTTGACCGAAAGTGCATGAGACAGAAGGTTGTGGATAGATAGGATTACCAACGCCACACGATATGGACTTTAAGAAGAATAAGAATGCTAAGCAGAAGAAGAAGACAGCTATTTATGTGACAAGGCAGCCCTATCATCAACCATCAGGTTTTTTACATAACGTACGTCGCTCTCTTCACAGCCCGCCTGATAATGTCCCTATCTCTAGCCAATTCTCCCCCAGCCACTGCATCATCAACGTCTTGTATTCACCTTCATGGAGGTCGGCCTCAGCCATGTTTTTTTCCCGGGAACTGTCCCCTCCATCACCATTGGCTCTAGGCCACCAATATGTTTAAATGGCAAAAATAGCTCAGCTTTCAGGAAAGGATGCTGTTTATGAGCCAATTCTCCTTGATCCTCAGACTGTATAGGACGTCAGTATTTTCTTCTTTCTGATCCCCGGCATTCTAAGAATTTTTCTGTAGCATTTGAGACAGCCAGTCTAACATCAATCCACTTTAGTCAGCTCTAAGAACATGGTTGTTAAGTAACAGTTATCTTCCCTCACTTCTGGGTTCCAACAAATCAACAGTGACAACAATTACTGAAGTGAAAAAATTTAGCTACAGCATTATCAAAGGTCTATTGCCAACAGCAAGAAGAGAAGCATGTATCTACCTCAATACCCTTAGCAGGTGGAAGGCTCAGATGGCTAGCACACACTTGGAAATGGAGGATTTTAAATATCCCTGTGGATATCCTCTGTGGGGAATTACAGACAAGTAAAATGAATGAATGATGTTTAACCCCACTAGGACCATACAATGAGTGATAAACACTGTGACACAAGGTACCAGCTTTCAGATGAGAATCACCCAGAAACCCCGTTCAACTATTAGGTTATAGCAGGGCCCTCAAGAACATCTGGGGTGGGCTTTAAAATAACCAACAACACACACAAAAACTGCACCCCATAGTGGGGCAGTTTTGTTTTGAGCAAATGTTTCAGAGATCAGTAGAAAGGTTGGGATCAGTCTTTATTACAATATAAAGATGTGCGCAACAGGGACACAAATGATTCATGTACTGAGGTGGATTCATGGGAACATGATGCCAAGCATGGTATTGCATGGTTAGGGGATAATCAGAAAGGGAACTTGGATGAAGGAGAAAGTAACTGCAGACAGGTTATAAGCGGAGCACCTGAGAAGAAGCCCAACAAATAAACGTGGTGGCAAAAATGGTCCCGAAATCTCATGCTGCAACTGTGGACATTTCCTAATGCAGTGGGTCTTGCTACTCATAGTCACCATCACCACAGCTTGTGATTCCTATGTCTCCTTATAGTACAATGCAACACTTGTCTGGAAAGACAGAGAGGTGCCAACAAACAAGCAAAAGAGGAAATAAAGAAGAAGTAAGAGTGGCTCATAAAAAGAAAAAGAAAAGCTGATTCACCAATCACTTACGTGGCGTTGGGGTCAGCATAGATGACCAGTTCTTCAGCTTTACTGAAATAGAAGACGTTGATGGTCAGCTTCTGTTTGATGCTGTGCACAATGCGGAAGAGACCTGAGTAAGTGATCATCTTGCGAGGGTCCTGCTCCATCAGTCCAGCCAAGAGTGGTATGACTAGAGACTTGAGTCCACTGGTCAGGAGACAACAAGAGAAGTATATAATACCAAAGATCTTCACCATCTTCTTCTTCTTTCACCGGCTGTAGACTCTTGACGGAAACTTATGGTTGTTTATACACTTTAGTGTTGCTGAGTTTTGCAAGTACATCCACTTTACAGATCTGGCTTAATTATATGTAGACTATCGGTATCACATCTCTCAGGCAGACGTAATCTGATTGGCAGGAAATACCACTAAAGAGTTCTATTTCATGATAGACTTGTTAGGTGGGCAGTAGGTCTATTCCCCCCTCCCCCCTTCACCACCAAATAGGGCCCAGGAGCCCACACAAGAAATGTCAAAGAGGGTTTCAAAAAGACACTGAGATGCTGGTCAGTGCCAGGGACAGAACTTGATATGTGTTAAGCAACTAACACTTAGTGTTTAATCTATGTGCAAAAAAAGTGACCTATAACCAAAATCTGTGAACTTCTTTCGTGGTGAAACTATCTGCTGGACGTTCTGAAAGTTGTAGTTTTGTTTCATGGATGAGCCATTGTTCACAAGTGCAATTTTTACACAGATCCTTGAAAGGGAAAGGAGGTGGTACATAGTTTGAGCTTTGTGTGAAGCAGGCGGCCATACATTCCTTATATAATTTCATTCTCAGACCAATTACTGCAAACTGGCAAAGACAAACACAAGCAAAAATGACTGGAGGATATTTTCTTTGTTTTCTTCTGCATTCGCAATTACAGGAGCCACATGGATAACCTGGGGAGATTAAGTTGGTCCTCTCAACTTTACCTCAACCAAAATCAAACATTAAAATTTCAGCTGAGGGAGACTGAGCACTACTGGGCACACCCTGAGTGCTGCATTATTCCTTCTATCAAGAAATAACCAATAAGAATTTACTGGAGCAGCGTTCCCTTAACAAAGTGAAAACTGGCTGAAATCAACAAATGGATTCCTATGGCAATCTCTCAAACAATCAAAGAAGTCTAAATCTAACAAACCATTTACAGATTTGATAAACAGGCAAAAACCATATTTACGTGTGTACAGGTCACAGTATTTGAACTAAAAATCATTGATAAAAAACACGGTGTGCATTCAAGATGTTAGACGTACATGTCACTTGTTTTTAAAAGAATGTATTAATATACAGTACAAGCATTCCTCAGTCATCCACCACTTCTCTTGCACTCTTACCAATACTCCAGGCGGTAGCTTCTCCTTAGGTATGGATTTATGTTTAAAAATGAGGTCAGGTGGGAGTTTGTGTCCGTCAGCAGTGATGCCTAGCATTATGGTACACCGCTGTTTTTCTTCTACTGAAGTCAGTTTTTTTTTTCTCACCAGTTTTGTTCACTGCTGTTTCACTGGCATACAGAAGAATACAGTTTCATCTGCATTGCTCCCATGCTGTAGTTGTGTGTCTTTGAAATGCAGGCAGTTTCACTTGGCAGTTGTTGGGAAGATGCTGCGTCAATGTTGTCCGCAGCTACATTATGAGATCATTTCATGCCAGAATGTGCCATAACTGGCTTTAATTTTTCTCTGAGGAATTCCCATCTTTCACCGCTTACAGGTACTACTGTTTCAGTGTTGGTCTCTCTATGAAACTGAAATATTTTTTCCTAAAATGATCATGACACTGGGTGGGGTCTATACATGCGAGCAGCCTATACAGGTGTAAATATGATATGTTGGTACTATCATAAACTCATTGAGAACATTCAGTTAATGTGAACAAAATGTTGGTTCCATCAGGGATGTACTTTTGTTATTAGTCACTGATCAGCACCAATTTAGTTTAACATGAACTTAATTTTCAGTCTCTTGGAATTTGTGTTAACGAAGTTTCCCTGTATTAGAATTAAATTTTCTGACATTTGAGCCAAATAAATCAACCAAATAAGCCCCACAACTGAAATAATTTTGTTATATGTTTATTTTACCTTGACAAAGGACAGGTATCTGGCAAATCTCGCTTCAGTTCAATTGGTCCATTTTCAGTAGTCTGAACACCAGAGATCACCCCACTCTCCTTCTGAGTAATAATCTCAAACCTAATACAAATGAAAAGATAAATAACAGTTTCTTATTATCTGCAATTGGATGATTTGGCCACATGGATGGGGTGAGACAAAAACACTCAGGGGAAACTCCCTCAAAGAACCCAACAACTAGTAGCAACAAAATCAGCTTTCAACTGGCTACAGCAATAACATGACATGAGTGTAGCTACACACTGCAAGTAGGATGTCTGTGCTGGGAATCCCAAGCTTGCACCAGATGACACCATGTCTGACATGTGTGACAGCTAGTCTCCTCAACATCACTGAGGGTTATCGCTGCTGTGGAGGCTGACCCTAATATACTTCCAACAGTTTCTGTCCCAAGCCTTCATAGGATACAAGGTCTGACAATAAGTAATGAGACTGATTTTTTTATGGCTAAGACAAAAATGCCATCTATGAATCACAGCATGGAATCCAAATAGGCAACCTTCGTCTATGATCTGGCAACTTTTCATCGCCACCCGATAAGCAGACAACAAACAAGCCGCTATTTTGTTAACCTAGTCAGAGGTGCATTGTTATGTAATCAGCATGGAGCAAAAAAGCTAACATTAAATTATATTTAAAACTCAGAAAAAGCGCCTTTGCAACAGTTGAATTGATGCAACAGGTTTATGGGAATAATTGTTTATCTCATGCACAGATTTTCAGCTGGCATTCACGATTCAAAAGTGGTGTGGAAATGATTACTAATGCAACTAGACCTGGACGCAAAATTTATGTTCGCAATGAGGAACTCATTGCAAAGTTCCAAGAACGGATAAAAGAAGATCGTTGTTCGACTGTGAGAATGATGGTAGATGAATTCGGTGAATACAGAGACTATTCGTACAATTTTAGTGGACAATTTGGGCAAAGAAAAAAGTTGCTTGCCAGTTTGTATTCAACACCTGGCAATATGTTTCTTCTTCGTGACAATGCACAGGCTCAAAAGGCGGTAGGAATTTTTGGCTCCAAAACAAGTGTGTGTTATCAACCATCTACCCTACTCCCCAGATTTGTCTCCCTGTGATTATTTTCTATTCCCAAAATTAAAGTTACCATTGAAAAGACGCTTCTTTGACGATACTGATGACATCCAAAGCGCCATAACATCGATTTTAGGGGCTATAACAACAGAAGAACTACAGAGATCGTTCCAGTGTTTGTTAGATCGGGCCACTTGCTGTATCAATGCACAAGGGGCTTACTTTGAATAAAATACAGTTTATATCTTCAACTGTTGATTATTTTAATTTTCTATGAAATTAGTCTCATTACTTAATTGTTGGACATTGTACACTGCCAGGATGCATTCAATTTCTTTATGGTCTCTCCATTTATATCTTTGAAGTACTGTAGCACATTTGTCTTTAACATCTTTCTTCATCACAACTGTTATATCTTTTGATGTTACCTCACTGAGTGGATTTCAGGGCTCCCTTTTAAGAGGTGTGGGGGTAAATAAAAGCCTCAATGCCCCTAATGAGCATGTAGCAAAAGTGGACTAATTAATTAATTTGTTTAGTAAAGGTCCATGTTTTCATGTCTTCAATACACACAGAATTTGATGGATGAATGTCAACTTCTAAGTCTTTGTTTTATGCTTTGTTGTTATAAAGCTGTGAGAAAATGGCAACAATCTGATAACCCACTGATACCATGATTGCACGTTATGCGATCAGGTGACAAATTTTCTTGGCTAACACGATCACACCCCTTGCGATCGTAACTTTAGATGCTCGCTATCATGTTAAATTCATGATTTTTGGCATGAAATTTGTTGCAGCTTTTAGCCCATTCATTTCTTACATTTCTCTAAGGGAAACAACTCCTCCAGGCTTATAGTAAATTTTTGATGAATTTTCATTGTCAGCTCCCATGTCGCTGACACCTTGGCAAAACTTTCGTCATGGAGTCAAATTCTCCAAGGGATTGTGATGGTCATATTTATACACATATTTATGAACAGTTTTATGACTCTGACACATCGATAGAAGTACCATCCAAAACATCATCAACAGGGAAACAATGGTATGTCGCATCAAAGTCAAGTCTAACAAAGACTCGACCAGCAGTTACACCATCAGCAGCAAAACCCAGTGTGGCATTTCTGATACAGATAGTTCAATGAAACTATTCTGAATTCTGAATTCTGTATTCTGAATTCAGAGCCTGTAGATTTGTAAGATATCATTGCCCCTTGTAATGCACAATCATCATCACCATCATCTTAAGTCCAGGGAAGATTTGCCAAACCCCCCACTGGTTGATGAGTGGCCCTGTGATTTGCAAGGCTTCCCTGAAGTACTCACATTTACAAAAGAAGGTGCACAGAGTGTGTCATCATCATGTAGCAGGTCCTTTGCAGAACGTCGCTCTCATCACAGTCTGCCTGTAAGAAACTCGGTCTCTTGCCAGTTCCCCCACCTCATGAACTTTCACACTCAAGGAGTCACTTATATCCTGTGCCCATCTTTGTGTCAGTCGGCCTCTGCCCCTCCTTCCTGGTACCATGCCTTCTGCTATAATTTTTTCCAATCCGTCGTGGTGCTTGATATGACCAAAATATTTCAGCTTTCGAGAAATGATGCTGTTTATTAGCCAATCTTCCTTGATGTTCAGATCTTTTAAGATGTCAATATTTCTCATCTTCTTTGTCCAAGATATTCTGAGAATCTTTCTATAGCATTTCAGCTCAAAAGCCCCTATTCTCACTTCCATGATGAGTTTCTTGGGATAGTAATGTGGTAGTTTCCAGTTGCTTTCCACATCCACATGGCTTTAGACCATGTCCTCAGCCTTCAGCAACCTTTTCGATTGCTAGGGCAAGTGAGTGCCCTGCTCTGTGATGCTCCTGCTAACAGCAGAGGCACCCCAGAACAGAGTGTGTAGAAAAAGATAAATGTAAAAATCCAGAAAATAAAAAGGGCCAGAAAGGGACAATGACAAGTTACTGGTGTAGGGAATGTCAGGTATCACTTATATATTTGATGTTTCCATTTCTCATGAATCTGCCTTGCCATATTTGTTGCCTTATGAAAAGTTTTATTAATTTGTCTCATTTGTATTTAACACTGATCTTTGATGACTGTGTGCCTATAGGAGACGTGATTTGTTAGTTTTCTTATTGCGGTCTTTCTGTAACATTCCAGTTATAAACTTTTTTATGCTAACCTCTGCTAACTGTCACACATCCACATTACAAACTTTACAATGGAGCCTTCCAGTCCTCAGCAGCATGGAGGTATTCTAAACACTTCAGCAAGCATAGACCATTGCAGGTTTGCTCTCAAGAAGGCTATTTGTCTGTTTTTTACTGACAACAAGGCTAATGATCTATATTTTCTGATGAGGGTAATTATCTGAATTCACTTGTACTGAAAGATGCAATGAACTGTACCATTCCACAAACACATTTTGGTAGTAAAATTTGATAAACGTGAGTGGTTGATATTTTTTTTAATGACATTGAATTCTCACACCATTTTCTAAATGCACATCATTTTCTAAATTGATAAAACAGTACAATTTCATGATTTATATGTCATGAAATTTAATCCATACTGTTGGCAGACAAAAGACTTTTCAGTTGCTTTTTTAATTTTTTTTTGTTTTTGCCCATCTACAGCCAAATGATGATTATGTTAAAAAAAAAATATATTTTCCTTTGCAATCTGTTCTCCATTCAGTTTGGTGCAAAAATACAAAATATGATAAGTGTATGTTGAATGGTTGTGAAGTTATGGAATTTTTTTTGTTAGTCTATATTGTAGTCAGATAAAACATTTTTCAGTTGCTTTTTTTTTTTTTGCACCAATTTACAGCAACATGATGATGATGATGATGTAAAACACAATAAACACAAATTTATTTCTTGAAATTTGTTCTCCATTCAATTTGGTGCAAAAATTAAAAAATATGATAAGTGTATGTTAAACAGTTGTGAAATATGATAAGTGTATGTTAAACAGTTGTGAAGTATGATAAGTGTATGTTAAACAGTTGTGAAGTATGATAAGTGTATGTTAAACAGTTGTGAAATATGATAAGTGTATGTTAAACAGTTGTGAAATATGATAAGTGTATGTTAAACAGTTGTGAAGTATGATAAGTGTATGTTAAACAGTTGTGAAGTGTGATAAGTGTGTTAAAAAGTTGTGAAATATAAGTGTATGTTAAACAGTTGTGAAATATGATAAGTGTATGTTAAACAGTTGTGAAATATGATAAGTGTATGTTAAACAGTTGTGAAATATGATAAATGTATGTTAAACAGTTGTGAAATATGATAAGTGTATGTTAAACAGTTGTGAAGCTCTGGCATATTTAGTGCGCACTAAATGTGGGATCTAGAAAGGTGCAAGGGTTGACCGGCTTGGCAGTCAGTGAAAATCAACTACAAGTATTGGAAAGTGAAAGGTGATAAAGTTAAATATTTGTTGGAACTGATAAAATTACACTGACAGGAAGTGACAAGGTTACAGCTTGGCAGGAGTTGTCAGTTACAGCTGGCAGGTACTGACAAAGTTACAGTTTATGAGGAATTGACAAAGTAAGTGTCATGTACAACTGACAAACATTCCCTTTGGTGTAGAAATGACAGAGTTACAGTTTGGTGTGGGATCAATCATCCACAGATACTTACATTGTTCGCCTGTTGCTGCGACCTCCATATGGCCGAAATGGAAGCTGTCCAGTGGCTGTGTGGTAAAAGGTCACACCCAGTGACCAAAGGTCAACTTTTGCATCGAAGATCTGGGAATTTGGCAGCCTTAAAACTGCTCTCTCATACATACCTGGGTGCTAGGGACAAGAAAAAAATGTATTCATTATATAAAATCTGGAAATAAAGTATAATATGCCCTACTATATCTGTTAAAATCAAAGTCTCTGTCTCATAACACTGAAATCAAAATATATAAAACACTGACAAGACCAGTCGTTTTTCATGACTCTGAAACTTGGAGTAAAACTAAATAAGATGAAGCCTTACTGCAAATTTCTGAAAACAATCTTATAATGAATCTTTGGACCCTTCAAAGAAGCAAATAGCCGGAAATGGAGAGTGAGAAGCGACAATGACATTTATAATCTGTTTAACCCTACCAGACCGCTGGCCCGGTTTACCGGGTATTTCTTAACCTGTCTGTATACCGCTGGCCCTAATTTTCGGCTTTTTGCGTAATACGGGGAAACGATGCGTCACGGATTAAAAATAACCACCCAATCATTATCAATCCTCTTTGTTAGACATTGCAAATGTCTGCCCGCATGTGTTTGGATTATATTTGTGTTGTTTTACATGGAAAAATTCTGAAAATTCACATTGAAACGAGTGGCTGATGAACCAAGTTCTAGGCTTTTCACAGTTCAACAGGTGATCAATACTTTGGTTTATTCACACTCTGTGATATATATATATTCATTATCTGTGATAATTTCATAAAGAATACGTTCTTGAAGTGACACTGTCAGTGAGAGCGTTTATGATGAGGAAAATCTTGAACATTATCAATATTGAAATAGATCCATAGTAGAAGGGGGTGTGTCCATCAAACGGCAACATCTGGTGTTCACTTTGTGAAACAAAGTTGATCCTGATGAGTGAATTCGCACACAAAGGTGGAATATTGGCGCTAGAGAAAAGGTAAGCTTATTTTCTACAATGTCTCCAAGTTTCATCATATTCTAGCCACTCGTTTGCATGTAACTAATATTTTTGTATTTCATGTTGGTTTTTTCGCGGTAATGCCCAGGAGCTCAGGTTATAGGGACAGTTAGGTTCAGGGCCTCAGGTCTGGTAGGGTTAAATCACCACCGACTACTGGCATCATAATGGCTAATAGACCGAAATGGTTGGGGCATATAGAAAGAATATTAGATGACAGAGAAGTAAAAACTGTGTACACTGTAGAAGCTGAATGGTCGTAGACCATGAGTAGGACCAAGAAGATCATATACTAACTATAATTACACAAACACACAAAACACCTCAACTTTAGAATGCAATCAATTTTTGAGATTCTAATATTTATGAATTATACTAAGTTCTTTGACAGCCGCCATGGTGTAGTAGCTATAGGCTCGCCTGCAGATCAGAAGGTCATAAGTTCAGGTCCTGATGGAGCCACACTTTTTTTCTTTCAAAAATCACCTTGGCTCCCAGGTCGACTCAACCTTAAATGGGTATCAGGTAAAATCCTGGGAAATAAAGGTGTCCGGCGTGTTGTTGACTACAACACCCACCAAGTACCGGCTGGTCTACAAAATAAAGGTCTAGCCCTATATGACCAATATGCCTGAAGTCATAGAAAAGAGTTCTTTACTTAGTTCTTCAGTATAGCTATTAAAAAGAATCGGGTCAGCTGCAGATCTTCAGCAATAAGAGGAGTCTGCAGGTCTGAGCTAAGTGGGAACCACTGCCCTACAGAACACAGTAGCTTACCAGATACTCTTCTGTGCCATACAAAGACTGAAAATTCTCATCCTCATACAGGTTTCTGGCTGCTCCAAAGTCTGTCAGCTTGTACAGTGAAAACCCATCATTTGTAATGAATCTGGTGAGAATTGTTATTTAAGTATCAACCACATGCATATCCTAGCATATCAAGAGTGAAGGAAAGATACTGATGCTGGATAGGACAAATTAAATGAACCCACTAATTAGTTAAACAGAAAGTCCTTTATCAGGAACCAACAAGCAAAATGAAAGAGAGGAACACAGAGAAGAGAATTAAAGACAGATGAATAATGAGAAGACTATGTAAAGAGCTGCAGGAGAGGGCAAAAGACAGTGGGACTTATCAAGATGTGGTTGTGGGAATATGCTCTGCTGGGGGACAGAGGGCTGAAGGAAGTAGTGACCACATTGACATCTGGCTGTGAAGCCTGGAAAATTCATGGACAAGTGTGAATAAGCAAAGTGAGAGTCAAGCAGGACTTCTGAAATGTGGTTATATCGGCTAACATTTAATGTGACAGCAGAAGAATATCAACAGTGTGACATGGGAGGATAAATACTGGCAAATGTGGTGATTACTGAAAAAACCGGTGTATAAAAAAAGGCAGTTGAAGAAAAGGAAAAACAGTAGTAGCACTAGAAGAAGAAGAAGATGAAGAAGAGGAGGTGGAGGAGAAGGAGGGTGAGGAAGAAGAAGATAAATTATAAAATGTGACTAATTAAGGATTTTCTGAACCGGATTTGTTGGGCCAAATACTGCAGATATCACAGCCTAGCTGTAAAAAAAAAAAGAATTAAAATGCCAACAGCCCATTTAATGACGAAGTAAAATAAATAAGTAAGAAATGTGTGCTGGAACCTACCTCATGATGTTGCCTGGTTTGATGTCTCTGTGTATGACATTCTTCTGTTGAAGGTACTCCATACCACAGCCTGGAATGTGGACACAAGCTCAATAACAGCCATAGGGACATGTCATATCATTTACCACAAATCTGTGTGTGGGTTTCTGGGCTCAATTTAGGGAAAGGTAGGGGTAGAGGGGTGGGTGGGTGGGGTGGGGAGAACAGATCCGCTGTCTTCTTAAAAAAACATGCTACAAAAGGCAAAAGAGATTTTTTCTCCAAAGTCGCAGTGCGCAAATCATGGTTTTTCTGTCCAGGTGTGTGAGATAATGATTAGCTGCTACCGCTTTTCTGGATGGTGAGATACTATACAATAAAGTGGATGTGGTGAAGCCTCTTTGTGATCAACTAGACTGTGCAAAAAAAAAAACACAGATAAAGAATCCAGACACTGAAAGACTAATTAAAAAATGAGGGGGAGAGGGGTGTGCAGAGGTTCTGGAAGATATTCAACATTAAAGGGGAAACAAAGGCGGACTTTAATCAGGTAGCAACTGGTACTATTAGCATGTCATTGGTTACTGAAGAATGAGATGGAGCATGTGTGGGAATGTCTCCAGTGCCGTAATGTCAATTCTTGATTGAGTCATTCATTCATTCATTCAGCATGCTTATACCAGTTATGGGGTTTGTGACAGACCTCTGAAAATAGGAGGAGTACATAGGTCTTAGTTAAAAGAGATTGGCACCTTTCCATCATTCTAGATGCTAGTGTTATACTGCGCTATGAGGAGGCAAGGGACTCACAGACAATGGCGATGGTAAGTGTGACTAGAAAGACCCGCCCACATTAAAGAAAGTCCACTACAATTATAGCATGGGATTTCAGGACTGATAAAAATGACTATATTTCAGTCATACTGCATTATACTATATCATCCTCATTATCATCATCAAATGCCCCAACAACTGGTGTGACCTATTGTGCTTCTTCCTATCCTTCAGTTTCCAATGGGATGTATCAGTCTGTGTGTTGACATTCTTATGTGCCATGACAAAAGTCTGCCATAAATCTTCATTTAACGTCTTTCTCCGTTTCTCTTTCCATAGATAATTTCAGATGTCACAACATGTTAAATTTTTTTTCGCATCTCACAATGTGGGAGTCAAATAACTTCTTTATCTTTTGTCTTACTGCTTATGCTGTAAAGCTTGCACAGACAGGAGTTAAGATATAGATTAGTGTTTTTTGTCCTACTGCTTATGCTGTAAAGCTTGCACAGACAGGATTTAGATAGGCTCTTCTGTCAACTACGGCCGGTAGACTACAGTAGACGGCCAGTTAGTCGGAGTTCTGTCCCCTGGCTGCAGTGCTATTACGGACTGGACAGGAGGAAATAAAACAAATGACATAATTACTGTGTGTTGGCGATAGACAGCGTGCACTGCCCTGCTATAATCATACGGTTAGGGTTTGGGTTTGGGTTAGGGTTAGGGGTAGGGTTTGGGTTAGATTTAGGGTTTGGGTTAGGGTTAGGGGTAGGGTGTGGGTTAGGTTTAGTGTTAGGGTGTGGGTTAGGGTTACGGGTATGTCCTGTCTTTTGTCGCACAAACTCAAAGTAGCTCTCAAACCCTAACCCTGTAACCCAAACCCTACCCCAAACTTGCAACCCAAACAAATCATATGAGTTAGATATAAATCGCCAACACACAGTAATTCTTCACTTGTATCGTTCCCTCTAATCCACTTAATGCGTCGTAAGAAGCTAATTGAACAGACAGCGAGGGTCTGATATGTCGACCTCACTTTGTCTCTTTGTCCTTCTCCAGTCCGTATGCACTGCAAGGGACAGAACTTAACCGCCGTCTACAGTTGACAGGAGAGCGGTTAGATATAAATTCCTGTTTTTTTGTCCTACTGCTTATGCTGCAAAGCTTGCACAGACAGGAGTAAGTTATAAATTCCGGTCTTTTGTCCTATTGCTTATGCTGTAAAGCTTGCACAGACAAATATAAGTTCCTCTCTTTTGTCCTACTGCTTATGCTGTAAAGCTTGCACAGACAGGAGTTAGATATGTTCCTCTCTTTTGTCCTACTGCTTATGCTGTAAAGCTTGCACAGACAGAAATATATATAAATTCCTGTCTTTTGTCCTACTGCTTATGCTGTAAAGCTTGCACAGACAGAAATATATATAAATTCCTGTCTTTTGTCCTACTGCTTATGCTGTAAAGCTTGCAGACAGGAGTTAGATATAAATTCCTGTCTTTTGTCCTACTGTTTATGCTGTAAAGCTTGCACAGACAGAAGTTAGATATGAGTTCCTGTCTTTTGCCCTACTGCTTATGCTGTAAAGCTTGCACAGACAGGAGTTAGATATAAATTCCGGTCTTTTGTCCTACTGCTTATGCTGTAAAGCTTGCACAGACAGGAGTTAAATATAGATTCCTATTTTTTTCCCTATTGCTTATGCTGGTGTGATGCTGACCACATCATCCATCTTGTGCTGATTGGTCCATAAAATTTAGGTCTAGCCCTGTATGCCCTATACACCTAAAGGCATGCAAGAGGGTCCTTTACTTTACTTTTACTTTTTTTTAACTTACTTATTGCTTATGCTGTAAAGCTTGCACAGACAGGAGTTAGATATAGATTCCTGTCTTTTGTCTTATTGCTTATGCCGTAAAGCTTGCACAGACAGGAGTTAGATAAAAGTTCCTCTCTTTTGTCCTACTGCTTATGCTGTAAAGCTTGCACAGACAGAAAATAGATATAAATTCCTCTCTTTTGTCCTACTGCTTATGCTGTAAAGCTTGCACAGACAGGAGTCAGATATAAATTCCTGTCTTTTGTCCTACTGCTTATGCTGTAAAGCTTGCACAGACAGGAGTTAGATATAAATTCCTGTCTTTTGTCCTTCTGCTTATGCTGTAAAGCTTGTACAGACAAGAGTTAGATATAAATTCCTGTCTTTTGTCCTACTGCTTATGCTGTAAAGCTTGTACAGACAGGAGTTAGATACAAGTTCCCGTCTTTTTTTGGGTCCTACTGCTTATGCTGTAAAGCTTGCACAGACAGGAGTCAGATATAAATTCCTGTATTTTGTCCTACTGCTTATGCTGTAAAGCTTGCACAGACAGGAGTCAGATATAAGTTCCTGTCTTTTTTTTACTACTGCTTATGCTGTAAAGCTTGTACAGACAGGAGTCAGATATAAATTCCTGTCTTTTGTCCTATTGCTTATGCTGTAAAGCTTGCACAGACAGGAGTTAGATATAAATTTCTGTCTTCTGTCCTACTGCTTATGCTGTAAAGCTTGTACAGACAGGAGTTAGATATGAGTTCCTGTCTTTGTCCTACTGCTTATGCTGTAAAGCTTGCACACAATGGAGTTAGATATAGATTCCTATCTTCTGCTAGCTGCATAGTTTGTGTTAATGTCGTACTGTGTTCTGTAGTGTCTTCTCTTTTACTCCATCCATCCACATCTTTCTTGATCAGCCTCCTGCTTGTAGCCTGCTGATCTCATGTAGTATGCTGCCGCTGCTGGCTGATTTTGTTGCAATCTGACCAGATGACCAAACCATTTGAGTCTCTGATGTTCTAAGAATTAATTTACTGGTACTCTGCCTACTAATACTGTTAGTTTTTCATTGGTGGCTCTGTCTATTCTTGTTCTTCTCACACATCTCTTATACATCTCATCTCTCATGCAATGACTTCCCGTGTAGTTTCCGGGGCCCTACTGTGGGAAAAACAAGAACTGACCCACTCCCTCCCCAACAAGCATGGTGTAAGAGTCAACTAACTTTGTGCTTTTTTTGAAGTCGGAGTGCATCTGCCTGAGAGGCAAGAAACCAACAATCTGCATTCAATAAAGTCAGATCTGTTAAATGGATTTGCACAAAACACTCCTGTTCTGGAACAAGACTAATATTCAGATGTGGACAAACAAACAGAAATTTCTGCCGGAGTTTACAGCCAGTGAACGCGAAGAAGAAAACATGTAATGACTACTAACAATAATCTCATTTTATTATTTGTGATAAGCTGTCTTAGATACTTAGCCACGCAACCAACATGCAGCCACTGCCATTCTAATTTGCTTGTATGTGTTGATTCTTCTTCTTCTTAGTGTTCACACATTGTAAACTTCAGTGTAAAAGTTCTGGTTGTTCATCCACTTCTGGACTCTAGCCTTGTTGCAAAATTTGTGTTTTGCATGCACATCCATTACAGATCTGGCTTATTTGTATGTAGACTGTTGGTTCCTGGTCTCTCTGGCAGATGTACTCTGACTTGAGAGGAAAAAATATCCATCAACAGTCAAATATACGATGCTTGTTGGGGGTGGCGGGTAGTGATCCTTTTCTTTTTCCACCAAACTGGGCTGCAGAATCCACATAGTGAATATGTTAATTAAACAGAACAAGTTACTCACAGACATGGTAGAGAACTAGCAAGTACTCGTCCTCTGTGAGCCCGTGGCGGTACTGGGGCAGATCAATCATGTGATGTAGGGAGCCACCCTCGCAATATTCCATGATGATGACCACCCTTGGGTTGACAGTCTGCAGGACAGTACAAGACAGTCAGTGACAAGGATAGTGACAGGTAATGATGCAGGGTCTTAAATGTCAAAACAGCCAACATGTCACCCACACAAAAACAGTCCTGTCACAAACAACCAAACTGTTACAAATAATGAATATGCTACAAATAACCCGCCTGTAACAATGACCAGCGAGTCACAGCTACCAACCTCTCACAGAAAACCAAAGTTAATACAAACAACTAAAAGATCACAAATAAACAACAAGTGAAAACAAACTTGTCACAAACAACCAATATGTTACAAACAACCAACATACTTCAATAACCCCCAACTTACAGTAGTTTCAACACCCAAAAAATGAATGATGTTTTGGTGTTTCAGCTGTTGAAGCAGTTCCAGTTCATGACTGTCAGCAGGCTTGTGCCCTTGATAGATATGCTCATGGAAAACCTTGACGGCAACGTACGTCCCAGCAGTCTAGCAATCAAGCAAAGGTTTATTTGTGAAATTAAACCATCACAAAGTCATGATTACAACATAGGACATCAAACAATCACAGCATACATTTTATTAACCCAGACATATTCATGTGTCCTGTCCTAACTTGTAAAAGATGGAACAAAGGTATCTACAACAGTGCAGAGAAATGAAGACGAATTTACAAAGATCATTAGGAAGGGTACACAGTGTCTTTTGGATCTTTCGGCAAGCTCCGCAGGTGTGCTGAGAAATGAAAAGGCAGACAGAATAACTGGTGCTGCACCAGTGGGTGGTGAAGGGATGCATGATAAGCTGGATGCCTTTTGGAAGCAAGTGAACAAACAATGTGGAAGCCTGAACAGATTACATTAAGATGTGGAGAGATGGTAAAGCAGGCAGTGACCAGGGAACGCGGCCGATACTTTACGCTTGGAGGAAAGGCAAGATGGACGTATAAATCAGACTGTTACTGGTATCATCATTATCAGAACTCTTCACTGGCTGCTGAAGGTGAGGAAGGGGTGCTTAAGGGAATGTCCTGAGTGCTGTAATGTTGGTTCTGAGCACACAGAAGATCCTTACAGCACCCCTGCCTGCTTCCCCCAATACTTCACCAAGTTAACTGGAGAACGAGAAGGTGAGATGAAAGCTCTGGAAGTAGATGTATTGTATGATCTTCTTTGTGTCTGCATATTCCTTCTTTTGCTGGCTAAAACAAGTTAGTGAAAGACCTCAAAAGGGTTAGAATCACAAACCTTTATAACAAAGCAAGTATCTGATCACTCTGCTTTGGTAAGGCTACATGTCCTAGTCCTCATGAAAAGTAAGGGAGGGGTGTTCTATTTGGGACTGGGATCAGAAAGCTGGTACACTGAGGATTCTAACTTGGTGCATGTTATAAATAATTGTTTCTGTCCATTCAGATGAGACTTCCTTGTTGGGCAGAGATGGGATGAATAAGTTAAATCATTAATGCTATTTAAAACTGTTTCCCCCTTCTACCATCAGTGGTACTGCTGCATCATTGTATATAGATTTTGTTTCAGAAAACATTCAAGCAATTACTAGTTATTTCCACCTAAAATGTTCAAAACACATTAAGTCAGATAATTAATGAATGAATGAAAAACTGACATCACTGCACATGGGACATTCCCATATGTGCTCAGTCCCCTTCCTCAGCAGCAAAACAAAGAGTTACCATATTGATGGTGCCAGTTGCAACCTGATTTAAAGTCTGCCTGTCCCAATCCCCCCCCCCAACCCACACCCCCCCCCCCCCACTGCGGGTAGAAAATTTGCCATCAGACCTTCTGCTCACACTCAGCTGGATCATTCAGCTGGGGTGGAATAGTTTCAGAGACTTAATGTCCCCCCACTGCCAAGTAATGATTAACACTGGATGGACTATCTCGCAGTCCTTACAAAAAAAAAAATCAGAGTTGCTGAGCTGAAATACTATAGAAAGATTATGAGAATACCATGGACAAAGAAGAAAAGAAATACTGACATACTAAAAGATCTGAACAACGAGGAAGACAGCATCTTGTCACAGAAAGTGAAATATAAGTGCCATAGCGGAAGTGAAAAGAAAAATAATAGCAGAAGGCAAGGTACCAGGAAAGACAGCAACATTTAGTAAAGGTCCTTTTATATGATGATGATGAGGGATAGAATCAGGTCTTGGCTGGTAATATTTGTCAAACAGGTAGTTTGTATGTCAGTGTCAGCAGTAGACTTCCAGTCCAGTTACGGGGAAAAGGAAGAGGAGGGTACACACTCATCTGTCAAGTTAAGCTGACTGACTAGCCAGTTAAATAACATTCCTAAAATAACCAAACAGTGAGATCATACACAGCCCGCCACCAGAGCTAGGATCACTGTTTGTCAAGGGGACACAACCACTGGTGATTAAGTACAAGTCTCATATTGCTGATGCTACCATACGCCTTCTGTCCAATCCCCCAATTGTACTTTGCTGCTGTTCGTTCTGTAGTGCCATTACTATTTTAGGCCCAGGCATTCAGGCAAAACTTAGCTCTTGTACAATGGCAAACATTCATTCACACACACTCATACATAATGGCTACAACCAAAGCTAGTGTGTTGCGGAGGTGTCTACGCGGCAAAGTGGTCAAGTCATTTTATACAGTTTCATACAATCCTTACGTTCTTTTTAGGACAAAATGTTTTGTTCTTTGAAGCCCCACCCTGGCTTTTGCCAGGGGCCGCAATATAGGCAGGCCATAAATGTGGCCAATTGTCTGAACGCAGTTTCTGGGACCTCTCCACAGTGATCTTCATCCATCAGGTGGCACTTTGTGTCATAGGGTGTTTTTCGCTTGTGTGATGTCCTGGTGGGGTAGAGAGAGTCAAGTCATTTGCTTCACACTTCAGATAGTCATGGGCTCGTTTTACGCATGCAGCATTCAGTTCAAAAGTTCACTTTTTATGGAGATCTCTGGGGATCTTTGCCGGCGCTACAAAGTTTGTGCTTTGAGAGTAACTGAGCCATGTGGGATAAACCACTAATAAGTTGCACTTATGACATGCTTGTTTGATGACCAAGATAAGTGGGGGGTGGGGGAGTAGGTTTTTTTTCTGTGTGCATGTGTGTGTGTGGTAAGGGGGTGGGGGTGTGGGAATGGTACGGTTTTTGTTGTAGGATTGACTACTAAAAGATTAACTCGAGTGACTCAAGAAGATGCTTATTCAGATGAGAGTCCAACAGCAGCACATTCTAGAGACCATGTTCAACCCTATTACATTTAAATGTATTTCTGTGCTGTAACTGAAGGAGCAGAGTAGAAATCTTCAGGAAATGCGAACACAGAACATCTACCTACCTTATGTCTTCCTAGATAAACCACAGCACTGGCTCCCTTGCCGAGGCTGTCAGCTGTGTTCCATGTGTAGTTGTCTGTGCTCACTAGTGTACCTGGGTATCAGATGGTGGAATTGTGTGACAAAGATTTGATGGTGGCATTGTGTGACAAAGATTAGATGGTGGAATTGTGTGACAAAGATTAGATGGTGGAATTGTGTGACAAAGATTTGATGGGAGCATTGTGTGACAAAGATTAGATGGTAGCATTGTGTGACAAAGATTTGATGGTGGAATTGTGTGACAAAGATTAGATGGTAGCATTGTGTGACAAAGATTTGATGGTGGCATTGTGTGACAAAGATTAGATGGTGGAATTGTGTGACAAAGATTTGATGGTGGCATTGTGTGACAAAGATGAGATGGTAGCATTGTGTGACAAAGATAAGATGGTGGAATTGTGTGACAAAGATTAGATGGTAGAATTGTGTGACAAAGATTTGATGGTGGCATTGTGTGACAAAGATTAGATGGTAGCATTGTGTGACAAAGATTAAATGGTAGCATTGTGTGACAAAGATTAGATGATGTGGCATTGTGTAACAAAGATTAGATGGTAGCATTGTGTGACAAAGATTAGATGGTAGCATTGTGTGGCAAAGATTAGATGGTGTGGCATTGTGTGACAAAGATTAGACGGTAGCATTGTGTGACAAAGATTAGATGGTAGCATTGTGTGACAAAGATTAGATGATGTGGCATTGTGTGACAAAGATTAGATGGTAGCATTGTGTGACAAAGATTAGGTGGTAGCATTGTGTGACAAAGATTAGATGATGTGGCATTGTGTGACAAAGATTAGATGGTAGCATTATGTGGCAAAGATTAGATTGTAGCATTGTGTGACAAAGATTAGATGGTGTGGCATTGTGTGACAAAGATTAGATGGTAGCATTGTGTAACAAAGATTAGATGGTAGCATTGTGTGGCAAAGATTAGATGGTAGCATTGTGTGACAAAGATTAGATGGTGTGGCATTGTGTGACGAAGATTAGATGGTGTGGCATTGTGTGGCAAAGATTAGATGGTAGAATTGTGTGGCAAAGATTAGATGGTAGCATTGTGTGACAAAGATTAGATGGTGTGGCATTGTGTGACGAAGATTAGATGGTGTGGCATTGTGTGGCAAAGATTAGATGGTAGCATTGTGTGGCAAAGATTATATGGTAGCATTGTGTGGCAAAGATTAGATGGTGTGGCATTGTGTGACAAAGATTAGATGATGTGGCATTGTGTGACAAAGATTAGATGGTAGCATTGTGTGACAAAGATTAGGTGGTAGCATTGTGTGACAAAGATTAGATGATGTGGCGTTGTGTGACAAAGATTACATGATGTGGCATTGTGTGACAAAGATTAGATGGTAGCATTGTGTGGCAAAGATTAGATGGTAGCATTGTGTGACAAAGATTAGATGGTAGCATTGTGTGGCAAAGATTAGATGGTGTGGCAGTGTGTGACTAGGATTAGATGGTGTGGCATTGTGTAACGAAGATTAGATGGTGTGGCATTGAGTGGCAAAGATTAGATGGTAGCATTGTGTGGCAAAGATTAGATGGTAGCATTGTGTGGCAAAGATTAGATGGTGTGGCATTGAGTGACGAAGATTAGATGGTGTGGCATTGTGTGACAAAGATTAGATGATGTGGCATTGTGTGACGAAGATTAGATGGTAGCATTGTGTGACAAAGATTAGATGGTGTGGCATTGTGTGACAAAGATTAGATGGTGTGGCATTGTGTGACAAAGATTAGATGGTGTGGGATTGTGTGACAAAGATTAGACGGTAGCATTGTGTGACAAAGATTAGATGGTGACATTGTGTGACAAAGATCAGATGGTGGAACTGTGTGACAAACATTAGATTATGGCACTGAGTGACAAAGATTAGATTATGGCACTGAGTGACAAAGATTAGATTATGATACTGAGTGACAAAGATGATGGCAAATAATAAAATCAATTAAGTGACAAAAATTGTGATGATAATATTAACTTATTGTCTTAGTACAGATACAATGAAAAGAATAAATCAATGTTAGTTTATGCGGACCTGGTCAGTTTCTTATTTCGGAAGTGTGTATTTAAAAAAAATCATCATCATCATGTGCCTTGCCAGATGCTGCAACTATTCATGTCCTTCCAGTAATCATGTATGGCTCTTGATGTTACGGATTACATTTGTTAACAGTAATCCCTCACATGATAGTCTTGGAACTTCCAACATAGTTTGCTCTTACCCAGTTTCACTCTCTTTTTTTGTTTCAATTCTGCAAAAATCATAAATTAAATCTTAGTCCCCGATCATGAGATCTGTGAAATACATTCACTAACCTCTCAGCTATAGAACCACATGCGTGGAAGACAAAATAACTTGAAAATAAAATGGTGAGGCATGCATTATACTCAACAACATGGAAAGTTGCCAGTCAATCTTCTTATTGTTAAAGTCCATGCCATGTGGCATTGGTAGTCACGTCTACACAACCTTCTGTCTCATGTACTGTCAGTCAAATCTGACACAGAATGATTTTGCATGCCATGATGTCAAACTATCCAGTATCTTCTCTCTCGGTCTTCTTCTGCCTCTCTTTCCCTCCAGCTTTCCCGCTTTCAGGATTTACTCTTTTTCTCCTTCTCATGACATGACCAATGAATGTAGATTGCCTCCTTCTGATTGGGCAATATTACTCTGTTTATCTGTCTAGGGTATTCTCTTAATTCATCTAAACCACATCTGGGCAACTTCCAAATAAATTTTGACTAACCAACGAACCGACCATGTGTTGAAGGGTGCCAAAAGCAATTTTGAATTGACTGGACTTGCGAAAAAACCTGGAAAGCTGGGGAAAGCTGGGAGACCAGAAGGTGATAAAAAGGAAAAGACCTGAGAAAAACGGTCTCTCTGTGATGTCAGCTCGCCTCGGTCAGATGCTCTGTCTGCCATTGCGTGACTGCTTGTGGTCTCAACACAGCTTAAGTGCGTCAGACTGAGCCGACAGAGATGGACTAATTTCATAGTGGTGGTACATTCAGTTTTTCATGGTGTTAGACATAAATCACCTAGTTAGATCTAAATCTTATTAAGTAGTTAAACTGTGTAGATCTAGATATCAAAGTGTTTCATCACTCTGAGATTATTATTTCAGTTCACTAGAAGTGAACTCTTTCCTTGATAGCTAGTGTGCTTAGAGCGTGGCCTGTCTGAACACAATGTTGGTTGTTAATGTTTTGTTATTTGTAAACCTCTTGAGTGTTCAGTAAAATAAACAGATGTTCAATGTGATAATTATAGTTCCAGTCATTCTGATTCAGATTAGGACTTGTAGTCAGTGTGCCAAGTTTTACTGTTATTACCGATTAGACTTCATCCAGAACATATCCTGTCAGGATTAGGACATAAGTGGTCTTAGTCCCCACCTAAAAAATGTTTTTTTTTCTTTTTCCTTGTTACCGAAGCAGCTTGGATGTGGGTTTCGGCTTTCACTCACCACAACAATGTTTGCTAGAGCTCTTGTAGGCTTGGAGTAGAGTTTAGTTTAAGGAGTAGATTTTTATATTATCCATAATATTGTGTCTCTCCCCTTCCTCTAATACAACATCCCCCTTAGGCTTTGCTTCTAGTACACATGATTCACTTCTGTATATCAGGATAACAATTATACAGCTCCTAAGTATTCTCTTTCTAGCCTCAACTGACAAAAAAAAAAAAAGACTGCACATTTTGTAAAACGTTACCTTTGCTTGAGCTATTTTATATTTAACTTCTTTAATACATCTTCCATCTTATCTTATGTACTCAACACCTCATAAATATATTTACCTTTTATTACTGGGAATACAAAAGATGATGTCATCTGATATACCTCAAGTCAGATCAATGTCAGAAAAACACAACTGCATTTCTGCTTTCACCTGGCTTTTAATAATCCAATCACAACTACAACGCTTGAAATTGAAACTGGTACAGGCTATCACCTTCTCTTATTAACTCAGTTTAAGAGCTACGCTAATCGTAACCACTATTAATCTTGTCATGCAACTAATCAACAAAACAGTGCTGTTTGAACTAATCAATCCCACAATCTATCACAAGGGATTGTATCCCTACGACTTCTTACACACCCGAAAAGTCACCAAGCACAGAGCAAATATTTGATGTGATATACTTATAAATTATGTTGGTTTATACAACGTTTATTACGATAGTAAACAAAAATAAATAGTAACTAAACAGTGGAATATTGGTTATTGATGACAGACTCCACCAGTTCTTCAAAGAATGTTGTCAGTTTTACGAAGTCGGATCAGTCGTATTAAGTGCCAAAATATTGGATCAGCATCAATGGAGTAACTATTTTTGGATCGTTGCATTGATTTTCTTGTATCCAAGCACTTCATAGGGACCGATTCGGCAGCTGTTACTTCATATTGACCAACGTCAAACAGGGACTACAGCTGGACATTGTGGGCATCAGCTGCAAAGAAAATATACAATTCTTGTGTACAATGCATATTTTACATTACTCAAAGCACACTCAGGACTTTTTCCCCTGAAGGTACACAGTACCGGCACCTTTTCTTAGGCATCCTTTTTCAGCATGAATAGACCGTGGTGTGGCATGGCACTTTATACTAGACATTCTGTGGTGAATTACCCAGCAGCTTTCCTTTCTGAAAAAAGCCCCAAATACACTGCTTTGGGACTTTGTTATTCTCCACCTCATTCTAGAGTAAAGTTACCTCAGCAGGGAAAAGCCAGGAAAGATGTAAGGATTGTCTGTGTGTTTTTCAAATGTACTATGCAGGGTAATCTTTATGTTATCTAACATTCTTGGCATCCTTTCATCGTGGCATGAAGGGGTGGCAGCACATGAGTTGATGAATGCTGTTAGGGATCACAAGTTGTAGAAAGGCATAATCTGCAAAAAAACTTGATGATGATGATGATGGTTTTTTTAACATCCTTATTCAATATTTTGTGTGATCTTCCATTGTTCTGTGTTCATTATATTTCTTAAGCATGGCTGCGACAGTTAGTTCCAGGGTTTTCT